AGACCAGTTGGAAGCCTCATTAGACCAGTGGGAAGCCTCACTAGACCAGTGGGAAGCCTCATTAGACCAGTTGGAAGCCTCATTAGACCAGTGGGATGTCTCATTAGACCAGTGGGAAGCCTAATTAGACCAGTTGGAAGCCTCATTAGACCAGTGGGATGTCTCATTAGACCAGTGGGAAGCCTCATTAGACCAGTTGGAAGCCTCATCAGACCAGTGGGACGTCTCATTAGACCAGTGGGAAGCCTCATTGGACCAGTGGGAAGCCTCATTGGACCAGTGGGAAGCCTCATTGGACCAGTGGGAAGCCTCATTGGACCAGTGGGAAGCCTCATTAGACCAGTGGGGTGCCTTACTGGACCAATGGAAATCCCAATCAGACAAGTGAGAAGCCTTATTAGACACGTAGGAAGCCTCACTAGACCAGTGAAACGCCTCATTAGACCAGTTGAGTCTCATTAGACCAGTGGGAAGCCTCATTAGACCAATGGGAAGCCTCATCAGACCAGTGGGACGTCTCATTAGACCAGTGGGAAGCCTCATTAGACCAGTGGGACGTCTCATTAGACCAGTGGGAAGCCTCATTAGACCAGTGGGAGGCCTCATTAGACCAGTGGGAGGCCTCATTAGACCAGTGGGAAGCCTCATTAGACCAGTGGGAGGCCTCATTAGACCAGTGGGAAGCCTCATTAGACCAGTGGGAAGCCTCATTAGACCAGTGGGGTGCCTTACTGGACCAATGGAAATCCCAATCAGATAAGTGAGAAGCCTTATTAGACACGTAGGAAGCCTCACTACAGGTGCTGGTCATAAAATTAGAATATCATGAAAAAGTAGATTGATTTCAGTAATTCCATTTAAAAAGTGAAACTTGTATATTATATTCATACATTACATACAAACTCATATATTTCAGATGTTTATTTTGTTTAATTTTGATGATTACAAATGACAACAAATGAAAATCTCAAATTCATCATATCAGAAAATTAGAATATTGTGAAAAGGTTCAAAATTGATGGCCCCTGGTGCCACACTCTAATCAGCTAATTAACTCAAACCACCTGCAAAAGCCTTTAAATGGTCTTTCAGTCTAGTTCTATAGGCTACACAATCATGGGGAAGACTGCTGACTTGACAGTTGTCCAAAAGACGACCATCGACACCTTGCACAAGGAGGGCAAGACACAAAAGGTCATCGCTAAAGAGGCTGGCTGTTCACAGAGCTCAGTGTCCAAGCACATTAATAGAGAGGCGAAGGGAAGGAAAAGATGTGGTCGAAAAAAGTGTACAAGCAAGAGAGATAACCGCACCCTGGAGAGGATTGTGAAATAAAACCCCTTCAAAAATGTGGGGGAGATTCACAAAGAGTGGACTGCAGCTGGAGTGAGTGCTTCAAGAACCACCACACACAGACGTATGAAAGACATGGGTTTCTGCTGTCGCATTCCTTGTGTCAAGCCACTCTTGAACCACAGACAGCGTCAGAAGCGTCTTGCCTGGGCTAAAGAGAAACAGGACTGGACTGCTGGTGAGTGGTCCAAAGTCATGTTCTCTGATGAAAGTAAATTTTGCATTTCCTTTGGAAATCAAGGTCCCAGAGTCTGGAGGAAAAGAAGAGAGGCACTTCATCCACGTTGCTTGAAGTCCAGTGTAAAGTTTCCACAGTCAGTGATGGTTTGGGGTGCCATGTCATCTGCTGGTGTTGGTCCATTGTGTTTTCTGAGGTCCAGGGTCAACGCAGCCACATACCAGGAAGTTTTAGAGCACTTCATGCTTCCTGCAGCTGACCAACTTTTTGGAGATGCAGATTTCATTTTCCAACAGGACTTGGCACCTGCACACAGTGCCAAAGCTACCAGTACCTGGTTGAAGGACCATGGTATCCCTGTTCTTAATTGGCCAGCAAACTCTCCTGACCTTAACCCCATAGAAAATCTATGGGGTATTGTGAAGAAGAAGATGCAATACACCAGACCCAACAATTCAGAAGAGCTAAAAGCCACTATTAGAGCAACCTGGGCTATCATAACACCTGAGCAGTGCCACAGACTGATCGACTCCATGCCACGCCGCATTGCTGCAGTAATACAGGCCAAAGGAGGCCCAACTAAATACTGAGTGCTGTACATGCTCATACTTTTCATGTTCATACTTTTCAGTTGGCCAACATTTCTATAAATCCTTTGTTTTTATTGGTCTTCAGTAATATTCTAATTTTCTGATATGATGAATTTGAGATTTTCATTTGTTGTCATTTGTAATCATCAAAATTAAACAAAATAAACATCTGAAATATATGAGTTTGTATGTAATGTATGAATATAATATACAAGTTTCACTTTTTAAATGGAATTACTGAAATCAATCTACTTTTTCATGATATTCTAATTTTATGACCAGCACCTGTAGACCAGTGAAACGCCTCTTTAGACCAGTGGGAAGCCTCTTTAGACCAGTAGGAAGCCTCCTTAGACTGGTGGGAAGCCTCATTAGACCAGTGGGAAGCCTCATTAGACCAATGGGAAGCCTCATCAGACCAGTTGAGCCTCATCAGACCAGTGGGGAGCCCTAATTAGACCAATGGGAAGCCTCATCAGACCAGTTGACTCTCATTAGACCAGTGGGAAGCCTCATTAGACCAGTGGGAAGCCTCATTAGACCAGTGGAGCCTCATTAGACCAGTGGGAAGCCTCATTAGACCAGTGGGAAGCCTCATTAGACCAGTGGAGCCTCATTAGGCCAGTGGGAAGCCTCATCAGACCAGTTGAGCCTCATCAGACCAGTGGGGAGCCCTAATTAGATCAATGGGAAGCCTCATCAGACCAGTTGACTCTCATTAGACCAGTGGGAAGCCTCATTAGACCAGTGGGAAGCCTCATTAGACCAGTGGAGCCTCATTAGACCAGTGGGAAGCCTCATTAGACCAGTGGGAAGCCTCATTAGACCAGTGGAGCCTCATTAGGCCAGTGGGAAGCCTCATTAGACCAGTGGAGCCTCATTAGACCAATGGGAAGCCTCATTAGACCAGTGGGAAGCCTCATTAGACCAGTGGGAAGCCTCATTAGACCAGTGGGAAGCCTCATTAGACCAGTTGGAAGCCTCATTAGACCAGTGGGATGTCTCATTAGACCAGTGGGAAGCTTCATTAGACCAGTGGGAAGCCTAATTAGACCAGTTGGAAGCCTCACTAGACCAGTGGGAAGCCTCACTAGACCAGTGGGAAGCCCCATTAGACCAGTGGGATGTCTCATTAGACCAGTGGGATGTCTCATTAGACCAGTGGGAAGCCTCACTAGACCAGTGGGAAGCCTCATTAGACCAGTTGGAAGCGTCATTAGACCAGTGGGATGTCTCATTAGACCAGTGGGATGTCTCATTAGACCAGTGGGATGTCTCATTAGACCAGTGGGATGTCTCATTAGACCAGTGGGAAGCCTCACTAGACCAGTGGGAAGCCTCATTAGACCAGTGGGAAGCCCCATTAGACCAGTGGGATGTCTCATTAGACCAGTGGGATGTCTCATTAGACCAGTGGGATGTCTCATTAGACCAGTGGGATGTCTCATTAGACCAGTGGGAAGCCTCATTAGACCAGTTGGAAGCCTCATTAGACCAGTGGGAAGCCTCATTAGACCAGTGGGAAGCCTCACTAGACCAGTGGGAAGCCTCATTAGACCAGTGGGAAGCCTCATTAGACCAGTTGGAAGCCTCACTAGACCAGTGGGAAGCCTCACTAGACCAGTGGGAAGCCTCATTAGACCAGTGGGAAGCCTCATTAGACCAGTTGGAAGCCTCATTAGACCAGTGGGAAGCCTCATTAGACCAGTGGGAAGCCTCATTAGACCAGTGGGAAGCCTCACTAGACCAGTGGGAAGCCCCATTAGACCAGTGGGAAGCCCCATTAGACCAGTGGGAAGCCTCTTTAGACCAGTGGGAAGCCTCATTAGACCAGTGGGAAGCCTCTTTAGACCAGTGGGAAGCCTCTTTAGACCAGTGGGAAGCCTCTTTAGACCAGTGAGATGTCTCATTAGACCAGTGGGAAGCCTCATTAGACCAGTGGGAAGCCTCACTAGACCAGTGGGAAGCCCCATTAGACCAGTGGGAAGCCCCATTAGACCAGTGGGAAGCCTCTTTAGACCAGTGGGAAGCCCCATTAGACCAGTGGGAAGCCTCTTTAGACCAGTGGGAAGCCTCATTAGACCAGTGGGAAGCCTCTTTAGACCAGTGGGAAGCCTCATTAGACCAGTGGGAAGCCTCTTTAGACCAGTGGGAAGCCTCTTTAGACCAGTGGGAAGCCTCTTTAGACCAGTGGGAAGCCTCATTAGACCAGTGGGAAGCCTCATTAGACCAGTGGGAAGCCTCACTAGACCAGTGGGAAGCCCCATTAGACCAGTGGGAAGCCCCATTAGACCAGTGGGAAGCCTCTTTAGACCAGTGGGAAGCCCCATTAGACCAGTGGGAAGCCTCTTTAGACCAGTGGGAAGCCTCATTAGACCAGTGGGAAGCCTCATTAGACCAGTTGGAAGCCTCATTAGACCAGTGGGAAGCCTCATTAGACCAGTGGGAAGCCTCACTAGACCAGTGGGAAGCCTCATTAGACCAGTGGGAAGCCTCATTAGACCAGTGGGAAGCCTCACTAGACCAGTGGGAAGCCCCATTAGACCAGTGGGAAGCCCCATTAGACCAGTGGGAAGCCTCTTTAGACCAGTGGGAAGCCTCATTAGACCAGTGGGAAGCCTCTTTAGACCAGTGAGATGTCTCATTAGACCAGTGGAGCTGAGCTGCATGGTCTGCAGAGGTCAGCAACTCCAGACCTCCACTTTTCCACTGGTCTTCAGAGCCTTTCTGTGGTGTTTCACACACTAAGCATTGGCTCCTGGTTCCTTGTCAGAAGAACCAGATTCTAGCTGCGCTGTTTGAAATCATGGATCCTTCTTCTCATCCATCTGTCTGTCTTTATGTCTGCCAAGTCCCACCTCATGTCATCTCTCCATCAGGGCACCCTCCTCACCAAACCTCGTTGCAAGCCGTTTCCAGACGCCGCCCCAGTGTGTGACTGTGCGGTATGTTCCTGCTCTTCTTCAGGGGTGTCTCACTTCAATCAGGCTTCACCCCTGATTGCCAATCTGCTTGCTGCATCAGTCTTCATCTTTCTCTCCAAATCTCTCCTTCTTTCTTGTCCAAATATTGGATCAGAATCCTTAGTTTGTTGTTCTGCTCCACCTGTGTCAGCGACAAAACGTCATCCTAGATTAGCTCCAACCACCTCCTGACTTCATAGCCTAGAAGTGAATCTAGTGGCCATCTTGTTGCCCTCCAGGTGTGAGGCAGACCTTTCTGTGATTTCCCTTCCTTTTCCACTCTCAGCAGGCTGGTTGGTTTTGCTGTTGTGGGTGTTTCAGCTCATTGTCTGTGCATCCTTTCCGCCTCTTTGCTGTAAACAGTCCTACTGACTTCCAATTTGTTGGAGAAGTTGGACCAGTGACCGGGGCCAAATTCCGCCTATAATCTGTGTCGTTTGGCTTACGTCGTCCTTCTGCTGCTTTTCTGCTCCTTGATGTGATGAAATGTTTGAATATAGCTTTTATATGGAGTCTCCTCTAATCAAAAAGGAACCTGACCCGATGAGATCAAGCCTGTAACTAATCAGTCAGTCGGCAGGAGGAAGAATCAGATTGATGAATATTATCAGGAGTCTGAGTGGACATGTTCAGGCTCTCTACCATAATCCTCAGATTAGGTGGTCTAAAAATCTGGGATTGAATGTCTGAGGCAGGTGGAAGGTATGTAAGCCTGCCTAAGCTTCCTGTTTTTCTTCCGTTTCCACCATCTTTCTTTGAACCTTTTGCTTTGTTCCTCAGTAGTTCTATCTTCTCTCCATCGTGATCATTCGTGATCTCTCCTCCGCTGATAGGAACATGGACTGCAGCTCTTCAGCTAGCTTTTAGAAGGTATCCAGACCAGGCCATGGGCTGTGAAAGGTTAACATGAACCCAGCACCCCTCTGTCCTAAAGGAAACAGGAATCATCATTTCAGACATGATCTAACTTTGTTCTGATCTTCTACGTATTTGATTTGTGGTGAAAGATGAAAGAAGATACAAAAACCTACAATGCAGCGATAGAGGTGATTCCTTCCCGCTATCATCGCAGCCTCAACCCCTTTACAAGGGAACAGAAGACCTCGCCTGTTCAGCCAGGCCAACAATTCCCTTTAACGACCCCCTTTCAGAGACATAGACAGGTATGGGGCATTGCAGTCTAACAAAGAAGCCAAATGACCCCCATTCCAAAGGGGGGGACCCGTTCATCCGTTTCTATTTGCATGTTTTCTAAACAAAAACAGGGCTTTGTTGGGCTGCTATCCGGAAGAAGAAGAAGAGGTCCATTGTTTGCAGATGCGCAGTGCTTGAGGTTCTGGTAAATCTGCTTGTAGCTCTTCTTCAACAGCAGGATTTACCCACAACACCCTCCGGACTGCCAACTGAATTTCAAACATGTTTGATTTTCCACATCTGACGAGTTCTCCTCTGTCTCATCATTTGCTGTCTTGCAAACTTCGGACGGGCCTGGACATGTTCTGTGGTACCAGCGAAGACACGCCTGGCCAATCAGGATGCGGCAGGATGTAAGGATGTAAGATGAGATCTAATAGATGGAGGGAGATCATCAATGGTCTTGTAGGTCTTCCATTTTATTCCAGTCCTTTTCTTCCCACCAACCTGCTTCGTGTTGAAGGTTCTCTCTTCCAAGCTTGGTGCAGGTCTAAAGTTTCCCTCCTGATGTCCTTCAGCAGCTCTTTGGTCTTGGCCATGGTTTAGTTTAGACTTAGATAATGAGTTCCAATGATACAGGTCATGAGTCAACAGACATCTGAATGCTTTGGTAGTGACCAAATACTAATTTTCCACCATAATTTACTAATTAAAAAGAACCCTATAATGTGATTTCCTGGATTTTTTTGTGTCTCATCATTAAAGTGTGCTGGTGAAGATTCCTAGTCATCTAGGTCATAGTCATTCCAAAAAACAACCACTGGACTTTCAAGTTTGAAGACGTTTCTCTTCCCATCCTGGAAGCTTTCTCAATTCAAAATGTCTGGATTAGCGTTGAGTTCCAGGTTTATAGAGTAGCCCAACAAAAGCTTTGTGATGGCTTAAAAAACATGCAAATTGAAGCTGGAAAATAGGTCCACATCATAGGAATGGGGAGTCATTGAGGTTGCATTTGGCCTGCAAAACAGGCAAGATGTCTTTGTCCCCTGCATGGCAATGAGAAGGAATCAATTCTATTAGTGCAGTCAGGAATGCTCTGATCTTTATATTGGAGAAACCAAACAACCTCTCCACAGACGCATGGCCCAACACAGGAGAGCGCCCTCCTCTGGACAAGACTCTGCGCTACATCTACACCTGATGGACAAAGGACATTCTTTGGAGGACCAGAATGTTCGCATTTTGGACAAAGAAGACAGGTGGTTTGAGAGGGACGTGAAGGAAGCCATCTATGCTAAGAAAACCCAACCTTAAACAGAGGGGGGGTGGACTCAGATTTCAGCTTTCTAAAACTTACAATGCACCTGGAGTTGATCCCTTCCCGCTCTCATACTCCTCGTGGCCATGCAGGGGACCAGAACATCTTACCTGTTTAGCCAGGCCAACACTGACCGTAATGACTCTCCTTTTACAGAGGCATGGGCCAGTATCGGGTTTTGCAGGCCTAAAACAACCTCAAAGACTCCGCACTCCTGAGGGGTGGATCTTTTATTGGTGCAATTTGCACGTTTTCTAAGCTACTTTGTTGGGCTGCTCTATAAGCCTGAATCTCAACGCTAATCCGGACATTTTGAATTGAGAAAGCTTTCTGGATAAAGAAGTGAAACATCTTCAAACTTGGTAAACAAAGTCCAGTGGTCTGTTTTTTTTAAACTCATCATTGAATTGAACATATAATGAAATTATAGAACTCTCATCTTTCTAAAAAGGAGAACTTGGACAATTAGTGGCTGACTGGATACCTAACTGTACCCCCGTACTGGCTTCCTGTTGGGAGAGCCGTCAGACGGCCCCAGGGTCAGTCCAGGCTGAGGAGCGGGTACCACGTCTCTACCAGATGTCCCTTCCACAAACGTACTCGGACCAAAGCTAACAGGTCCATGGACATCTTAGCGCCTCCTCCAACTAATGTCTGATTCTGATGGAAAAGTTTTCCTTCTTCTTCTCTGGAGTCTTCTTTCCAGCAGCCCATGATTGCTGGGAGGAATTCTGAGCTGTAGAAACTCTGGCAGGTTTTATCTATGCATCTAAGGTTAGCAGAAGGTTAGAGTAGGCAAAGGGAACAAAGCTTGATGAAGGCCTGCTATGTCTCTGGAGCAGAGGCTCCTCATCCTGCAGGAGATGAGTACGCCTCTCTGTGATCGCTGCACCTGACAGCCTGTGTTCACCCTTCTGTTGCAGCTGTCCATGCTCTTCACTGAGGAGTGCGATAAGGTTCGGGACCTGATGCACGTCCACTCCTTCAGCTACGACTTCCACCTGCGGGTCGCTCACCAGTACTTGGTCGGGTGCCACATGACGCTTCGACAGGGCTACCAGCTCACAGACTTCCTGGATGACTTCATCTGCCATTACCCGGATATTCCCAAGTTTGGCCGCAATCACGTCTTTCAAGGTGATACTGGTGACCTGTTGGTCAACAGATGGTGGTAGAGAGCAGGAACTATGGTCTGTCAGGAAAGACCACTGTGATGATGATCATGATGATGATGATGATGATGATGATGAACCAGAGTAGGCCAACAGTTTGTGATGTTTCTGTAAAGGAAGCTTCTCGGTCTCCACGGCGATGATAACAGCCCACCAGCTCTACAACTACATCATCGACCACGCCAGCACGTACAACATGAAGCCTCTCCGCATGTCCAAGGCCGCAGCCGCTGCTGACAGCAGAAAGGGGATGGCAGACCTGCATGAGTACGCGCTGGTAGCTCTGTGGAACAGGTCAGGACCCGTCCTGCTGCTCACCACGCCGTCCCGCTCCGTCTGTTGGACCTCAGATAACCGTCTCTGTTTTTCCTCTAGTTCTGGCTCCTACAAAGACCTGGAGGGCCTCCACCACCACGACGACTTTGACGTGTCTCTGGTGGTCTGCCATAATGCTGCTCCTTTCGAGAATCAGTCTGATGGGGAGAGGCATTTGCTGAGGTAACGAGAAGGAACTATCCGACCAGATAAGCTGTGGTTGGTAACATGTTTATCAGACAGCAGCGAGTTTAAGGTTAATCCAACCATCCAGATCCGGCATCCACGTTGTCTGTGTGTCCACACAGCAGTGACATTTTAAAGCCTGGGTGGTCTGTTAGAGAGGGGGTAGTCTCTTAGAACATGGGTGGTCCTTTAACAAGTGGGTGGTCCCTTAGAGCGTGGGTGGTCTCCTAGAGCGTCGGTGGTCTCTTAGAACATGGGTGGCCCCTTAATAAGTGCGTGGTCCCTTAGAGAGTGGGTGGTCTCCTAGAGCGTGGGTGGTCTCTTAGAGAGGGGGTAGTCTCTTAGAACATGGGTGGTCCCTTAATAAGTGGGTGGTCTCTTAGAGCGTGGGTGGTGTCTCAGAATGTGGGTGGTCTCCCTGCTCATCCGGAGCCAGAACTACCTGTGTAAACCAGTCTTAGCTCAACGTTGGGTTCTCATAGGTAGGTTTATTGTCTCTGCTCGCCCTGCTGATTCATCACCACCTCCACCACGGTACAGTTTTCTCACTAAGTGGTCACAGTGTTTTGCTTGGACAGTCTGTGGGTGACGTAGGTTCCTCTTCATCAGTTACACCTTCCTCCTCAGGCTGCGGTTCTACGTCATCATGACCAGTCAGAGGGAGCTGTTCCCCCATCTCACCGCAGACATGCGCCGCTTCAAGAAGCTGCCCCAGATCTACCGGGATCCCAACGAGCAGGGCGGTCGCCCCCCCCGAGAACGAGCAGAGAGCAGCAGCTCAAATGGAGAAGGCCAAGACCTCTGGGAGGAGAGGACCTCTGAAGGTTCTGCTATCTCGGCTCCCAGCGACGGCAACGAGTTTTATCCTCTGACAGGAGGACGGCCGGGGACCCAGGGGCTGCTTTACGGCTCCCCTCTGTTCCCTCTGCTCAATAACGAGGTGGCTTCAGCCCGCAAACAGATCCAGGCCAGCGTGGAGCAGGCCATGGGTCACTGCCGCCGAGACAACCTGTGGAGGAGGCTGTTCCATGGAGACCATGTGGCCCTGGACAAGCTGAAGCTGGCCAGGCTGTCCTTCACAGAGCTGGAGGAGCTGCTGCAGGCGGTTCAGAGTCACTCAGTGGGGGACATCGACCCCCAGCTGGTAAGATTACCACACCTGGATGAAACTCCTCCAATGTAAACCTCAGGGCCTCAGCTCCATATGAAATAAATGGGTCTGATCAGTTAATTCTTCGCTGACAGAGACTGTCCTGGTTTGTCGTGTTAAAGGAAAATTCTGGTCAGCGAGGAATAATCAGTGGATCATTATTTATACCTAAAATAATACATTTGCGGTGATTTGATGAATTTAGTGTTAATCAGTTAAAAAAAAATACAATTATTTTCGTCACTATCACTGAGTCTGGGAGCGGCCATTTCTGCCCAAATATAGTAGCCCCTCCCTCCTGCCATCTTCCAGCAGTGACGTCACGGTGCGGTAAGCCTAGCGCCATTCTCCCCGCTTTCCAAGCTAAATCAATGGGAACTACTAGACACATCTGCAATCAACAACAATTATTGAAGATTTCCAGAGGACTTCACCATTGAAATTCACCAGAGCTATAGTGAAACTGACAATGCCCACGTGCATGGCAGCTGGATGCTGGAATACATCGGGTAAAAGGGAAAAAAAGAGTTATTCCACCTTTCTGATTCCTGATCCTCCACGGACGGGTTGGTCGTTGGATCGCCAACTTGAAGAGGGAGGGTTTGCCATCGAACTTCTGGCCAGAGAAAAAACCCGTAATATGTAGCCAACATTTGGAAGAAGAATGTTTTCAAGATGACTTGGATAATAGCGCGTTGTGACAAACACCAGATACAGCACTGGGACTTGATCAACAGCCGATACCGCACCGTGACGTCACTAACCAGTAGGTGGCAGTAGTGTTCTTTGACAAACATGGATGCCTCCAGTAAAGCACATTCACATGAAAATTACTCTGGATTAAAAACACTGATCATTTATTGAACAGGATGGAATCATTTCAGATTTAAAGAACTCCTTTAAAGGGGTCATAGAATGCAGAGTTTCCATTGTCACAGATGAATAACGATAGTTCAATGGGTGAAAAAGCTTCAACATCTCCTTTCTCTGCAAATCTCACAATTCTAAACTTTCACCATAAAACAGGTGAATCCAAACGAAGCACTGAGGTGACGTAAACTGTGGGATGTTGCCTTATTTGGTTCTGGTCTGGACTTTTGGGGGGGTGGATGGGGGTGACCTGGCCACTCTCCGTCTGAGGAGGGGTGGCTCCTCCGGCTGAGGAGCTGGGGGCCGGTAAGGTAGACAAGGGGAAGCAGGTGTCCAGGCTACCGTCACCGGGTCGGGTTTGGTCGCTCCGTCCCCCGCTGGCTCCCTGCCCCCATCCACTGGGTTTCCAAGACCAGCCCCTGAGCTGACGGCTCAGTTCTGCTGCACTGTAGTCGACCAAAATCCCGGATGATTTTGAATTTCCCCCTGGACATTTTTTTTATGTCCGGGAAAAAGAGGCCGTCTGGTCCCCCTACCATACCAGTGAGTGAGTGCACTCAGTGAGTGAGTGCTTGTTGCTATGATGCCTCTTTGCTCAGCAGCTTGGCTCCTGGTAAACCAACCAATCAGAGCACAGCTCATCTAAATATTTATGATCAAACCATAAAAGGAAGAAAAAGCTGTGGTATCATTCTAGGGCTTTTAACCAGACTGCATTAGGGCTCATAGAACAGCTAATATGCAATTTTCAGCCCAACCAATGTTACACACCCTATTAGAGACCTGAAGGACCAGATACCCGATAGAATCATTCTATCACCCTATTAGAGACCTGAAGGACCAGATACCCTATAGAATCATTCTATCACCCTATTAGAGACCTGAAGGACCAGATACCCTATAGAATCATTCTATCACCCTATTAGAGACCTGAAGGACCAGATACCCTATAGCAGTGGTTCCCAAAGTGTGGGGCCCGCCCCCTAGGGGGGGGCGCAATGCCATTGCAGGGGGGGCGCGGGAAGCGGTATGAGTGAAGAAAAAAAAAAAAAAAAAAAAAAAAAACAGCGCTTGCTTGACTGAGCATAATGGACAGTTGTGACACTGCAACCCAGATTTGAGAAGATCTACAGCAAAAAGCAGGCTCACTACAGCCACTGAAAAGATGGGAGGATTAAAGTACGAAGAAAAAACCTCTTAGGGAGCTGTTAAATGTTTTCACTCCATTTTGCACAGAGGCTTTTTTAATGTATAGATTATAGCAAAGTTAAATATTGTTACAAATAAAAAAAAAGACATATGTTTAAAATAACACAGACAACAAAGAATCCTCTTCTAATCTACAGTATAGAACTATGAAAAAAATACAGTTACACAAAAGTGTTCCACTGTAAAGATGGTGTAGTTTGTTTTGTTGCAACCTGAAGTGTGAAATAAACTTCAGTGGAGTTTGAAAACAAAATATGTGTATAGATTTATTATATCTGTTTTTTTTTTTTTTTTTTTTTTTTTTTTTTGGGGTCGGGGGGTTATGGGGGGGGCGTGGACATTTTATTGTAATCCAAAGGGGGGCCCAGAAGAAAATCTTTGGGAACCACTGCCCTATAGAATCATTCTATCACCCTATTAGAGACCTGAAGGACCAGATACCCTATAGAATCATTCTATCACCCTATTAGAGACCTGAAGGACCAGATACCCTATAGAATCATTCTATCACCCTATTAGAGACCTGAAGGACCAGATACCCTATAGAATCATTCTATCACCCTATTAGAGACCTGAAGGACCAGATACCCTATAGAATCATTCTATCACCCTATTAGAGACCTGAAGGACCAGATGCCCTATAGAATCATTCTATCACCCTATTAGAGACCTGAAGGACCAGATACCCTATAGAATCATTCTATCACCCTATTGGAGACCTGAAGGACCAGATATCCGATAGAATCATTCTATCACCCTATTGGAGACCTGAAGGACCAGATACCCTATAGAATCATTCTATCACCCTATTAGAGACCTGAAGGACCAGATACCCTATAGAATCATTCTATCACCCTATTAGAGACCTGAAGGACCAGATACCCTATAGAATCATTCTATCGCCCTATTAGAGACCTGAAGGACCAGATACCCTATAGAATCATTCTATCGCCCTATTAGAGACCTGAAGGACCAGATACCCTATAGAATCATTCTATCACCCTATTAGAGACCTGAAGGACCAGATACCCTATAGAATCATTCTATCACCCTATTAGAGACCTGAAGGACCAGATACCCTATAGAATCATTCTATCACCCTATTAGAGACCTGAAGGACCAGATACCCTATAGAATCATTCTATCACCCTATTAGAGACCTGAAGGACCAGATACCCTATAGAATCATTCTATCACCCTATTAGAGACCTGAAGGACCAGATACCCTATAGAATCATTCTATCACCCTATTAGAGACCTGAAGGACCAGATACCCTATAGAATCATTCTATCACCCTATTAGAGACCTGAAGGACCAGATACCCTATAGAATCATTCTATCACCCTATTAGAGACCTGAAGGACCAGATACCCTATAGAATCATTCTATCACCCTATTAGAGACCTGAAGGACCAGATACCCTATAGAATCATTCTATCACCCTATTAGAGACCTGAAGGACCAGATACCCTATAGAATCATTCTATCACCCTATTAGAGACCTGAAGGACCAGATACCCTATAGAATCATTCTATCACCCTATTAGAGACCTGAAGGACCAGATACCCTATAGAATCATTCTATCACCCTATTAGAGACCTGAAGGACCAGATACCCTATAGAATCATTCTATCACCCTATTAGAGACCTGAAGGACCAGCTACCCTATAGAATCATTCTATCACCCTATTAGAGACCTAAAGGACCAGATACCCGATAGAATCATTCTATCACCCTATTAGAGACCTGAAGGACCAGATACCCTATAGAATCATTCTATCACCCTATTAGAGACCTGAAGGACCAGATACCCTATAGAATCATTCTATCACCCTATTAGAGACCTGAAGGACCAGATACCCTATAGAATCATTCTATCACCCTATTAGAGACCTGAAGGACCAGCTACCCTATAGAATCATTCTATCACCCTATTAGAGACCTGAAGGACCAGCTACCCTATAGAATCATTCTATCACCCTATTAGAGACCTGAAGGACCAGATACCCTATAGAATCATTCTATCACCCTATTAGAGACCTGAAGGACCAGATACCCTATAGAATCATTCTATCACCCTATTAGAGACCTGAAGGACCAGCTACCCTATAGAATCATTCTATCACCCTATTAGAGACCTGAAGGACCAGATACCCTATAGAATCATTCTATCACCCTATTAGAGACCTGAAGGACCAGATACCCTATAGAATCATTCTATCACCCTATTAGAGACCTGAAGGACCAGATACCCTATAGAATCATTCTATCACCCTATTAGAGACCTGAAGGACCAGATACCCTATAGAATCATTCTATCACCCTATTAGAGACCTGAAGGACCAGATACCCTATAGAATCATTTATCACCCCTTTAAAGATTTGCTGTCTCACCTTTAACCTCTGGAGGGGAGTGGCGGCCTAGTGGTTACGGCATAGAACTTAGACTGCCACAGTGGGTCCCTGAGCAAGACCCTTAACCCCACGCTGCTCCTCAAAGGGATGGGTTAAATGCAGAGTTCCGCTCTGTATTTGTGACAGGGGAAGGACAATAAAAAGCTGAGAAAAACCCCAAACCTTTAAAGACCTGCCATGTTTAACGCTCTGCTCTGACTGTCTGAGGCTCCATGTTTTTACGCAGATTAAAGGCCGTTTTCTCATTGCAGGATTATTTCCTCAACATGAGTCCAGCGTGGTACCAGAGCCTGATCAAAGTCCTGTTGACCCGATTCCCTCAGAGCTGCAGACACTTTGATGATAACGGCGTCCAGTATCTGGTGAGTTTTTGCTAAATGGTGGTGCTGGTTCCTCTGATGACATCAGGGTGGAAGCAGTTAGGCTGGTTGATCTTCAGGCTAATCTAGATCATGTCTGGAATCTTTTCAAAGGCGGTTCTGAACCAGAAGTTCACAGACTGCTTTGTGTTGGTCTTCCTGGACATCCAAGCAGGAAAAACTGTAAGTAGATCCAGTAATCGGACCTTTCCACCAATTCTCTGCTTCTCATGGCTTGTTTTCTTCCCCTAAGAGCCTGAAGGTTGTTTTCCGAGAGCCGCTGCCGTCTCAGCCTCAGGCCAGCAACAGTCCTCCTCCTCAGCTGGTGTCCATGTACCACCACCTGGAGTCCGTCATCAACACGGCCTGCTACAACCTGTGGACTGGACTGCTGTAGAGCTGAGCCCAGCCGTGCCGCTCAGGTTCACCCATGACTGATTGACCAGGGGGTGCTTGGAGTGAGCTGAGGTGTTCCAGGTTTGATGGTCCGACTTCCAACTCTGCTGGTTCTGTTCTGAAGGAAACCGGCTCTACATGACGATGTGGTGTTAGGAGGTCTGCAGGAGCCAACGGCAGCTCCAGGTTATGGACTTCCTGTTTGCCGCTCATCCCGATGGCTGGAACCATGAAGGGACGGCTTGTTTCTGAGGAGGCTCACAGTCCGCCTGAGTCTGAGAATGGATCAGAACCAGGTCTGTCCTGAGAACAGGCTCTGGGCAAAATGCTGCACTAATGGAATCCCTGTGTAAATAAGCTAAACTTTCTACCTAATTCTGATGAACTGAATGCATCAGGAGGCTGAATAAAGTGGGTCTGAAGTGTGCAGAAACCTTTGGTCTCTTCCTGTTTCTGCTCCAGAGAAAAGGTGGTTTAATGTGATGCTGTTATAGAAATGAACTCCAAACCTTCAGGTGAATATTGCTTCCCATTAAATGCTAGAAAATATGTGAAATTATAAACAGGCTCAAGGTCCTGGAAAGTTTTTAAAACTGACAGAAAAAGACAGCCACCCTTGAAAGCCTTGAATGTTTTGGGGGGCGGTGTGATTCTCGTGGTCCTGTCCTGGTTATGGTTTCCTGTGTGTCGTTAGCATGTTTTCAGAGACACTGTGGCTCCCTAGTAGTTTGTTCTTCCTTGGATTTTCAAAAAAGTTGAAATCAATCCACTGGACTTTGTTTCCATGTTTGAAGACGTTTCTCTTCCATCCAGGAAGATTTTTCAATCCAAAATGTCAGAAATAGCGTTTAGTTCCAGGTTTTATCCAGCTGCCCAACAAAGCCTGGTTTTAGTTTAGAAAACATGCAAATAGAAACGGATGAACGGGTCCCCCCCTTTGGAATAGGGGTCGATTGGCTTCTTTGTTAGCCTGCAATGCCCCATACCTGTCTAAGGAAGAATACCGTTCTTCCTTAGACATAAATATGGGCTTTATTTTAATAACCATGGCAACACTGGAAAAACAATCTAGAAATAAGTAAAAATTTCTTACATTTTGTGTAATTATCCTTAATGCGAGTAGCTAAATGAGAAAGTTTGCCACTGTGATGAGTATTTTTACTCTTAAAATAAGATAATTAGATAAAATGCACTTGAAACAAGACAATGCAATTGTTTTTTCTTATTTTAAGTGTAAATTTTCTTCTTCCATTGGCAAAATGTCTCTTTTACCTTCTTAATCCAAGAACAAATGCACTTATTTTAAGAAAAAATGACTTATCTAGATTTTTTCCAGTGACTGCCTCCTGCCGAGGAGAAACTTCCAGTTCAGATTTTTTGCAGTTTGACGTTTTTACAGCGTTTTGTTTCGACAGAATGGACAGCGGAGGATTAAAACAATCGATCGAAGGTTTTCGCCTTCCGGCTGCAGCAGAAAGGTGTTCTGGTCAGCGAGGTGACAACTCTCCATCAAATGCTGCCTTATCAATGACGACATGAAAGCCGATACCTACTGCCTCCACCTGCTCATCTAGGAGGAGAGAATCTATGACTGGATGCAATCAGCTCCCTTTTCCCCTGATAGAAAATCTTTGACCAATCTGACTGATCTGATTGGTTCGTCTCTGCAAACTTCCTCAATCAGCCAGATAGAAATGAACAGAATCGTTGACTTTATTATCTGCAGGATGACCCGCATCAAACTTGTTCAGGAAATCTATAAATGATCTCTGACTATTGGTGAAGAAGAGCATAAAAACCACGTTTACTGAGCTGTTGTGTAGGAGTCAGGGGTAACACATCTAGTTCATCACTCACTATGCAGGCTGCAGTGAATCAGGCTCCTCATGGTGGGAAAAATACTTTTATTCATTTTAATTTAGAATCTAATTTAGGATAATAAAAGGAGAGGAGGTGGACATTTTGAGGAGCGACTAACAGGCGTTCAGATATTTATTTGCAGCTGCATCATACAAATAAATAGTAAAAAAAAAATCTTACATTGTGATTTCTGGATTTTATTTTAGATTATGACAGTAGAAATGCACCTATGGTGACAATTTCAGACCCCATCCTCACCGTTTATTGAGTTTCATTCATTCAGGTCTCAGAGCTGCGAGGCGTCTCAGAGAGAGGAATGGTTTTTCCTATTAGGGATAAAAATGACGGCTCTCAGAACAAGCTGGACTGTTTCTTAGGAGTTAATTCATAACATTTACCTCGGTTCATTTAACTGGACTGTATAGTTGAATACCTTCGTTCCAACGACAATTTGGCGTTGCCGGCAGGATCTCCCCGTCTGATTTTCCTGGGAGCCGTTATGACGGAAGTATCTGATCAACCTGGGATTAGTTCCTGGCCTGAACCCTAACAGATGGAGGACTTCATGGTTCCAGGGGTCAGCAGGAGATTAACGACTGATGTTTTTGAGACGATGGGAAACTTCAGTCGGCATGGCTCAAATAGTTTAGATCTTAAATGAATATAGATGTAATAGTTTCTACTGGGGACAGATTTGTTTTTTTTCCACTTGAGAACAAAAGACCCTCTGCAGGAGTAATACGTGGAGAGCTGTCATTAAGAACTACGAGGAAGCTTCGTAAATATAGCCAGATATTTGATTTAGCTGAGACGTCAGTAATCTAGAGATTCATCCAGGTTGGCTCCAGCATACAGGGGTGCATATGGATTATGGGCAAATTAGCGGTAGATGAGGATAAATGGGAAATTGCAGTTCCAACGGATTTGAACAAGAGGCAAAGATCCAGGAAATCCCCTCAGCACCAGAAACGGGTTCAAATTAGCTTAAAGGCAGACTTTAAACACTATACTAAGTGATAACAATGAATTTTAATATCTATGGTGCTTTAGAGAAAGAAAAACCCCAAACTCTTATAGGAAATGAATAACTGATGGCTAAAAACTCAAATCGTTAAAGTAGAGCATAAAATAAGGTGAAATTAAACGATTTAAAATTTGTGAAAAGACTGAAGGAAGTGTGTTTTGAAATCAGATGACTTTAAGTGACAGACGAAGGATTAAATGGAGCAACAAGACATCTCACTACTGAAAAGGCTTCTTCTCTATATGGTGAAGATGAACAAATTTCTCTTTATGTATCTGAAAAATCTGAAAACTCTTCCTTCCATCAAACATTGTTTTTTTTCCCTTCTTTTTCTGTCTAACATGTTCTCCATTCGGGTTTCAGACCCCCCCCCCCAGACAAAGCACTGCTGCTTCATCAAGCATGGTTTCCTAAAGGGGAAGACAACAGAAGAACTGTTCTTCTCTCAGCTCCTTTGATTCATGCGTGGAAGCAGAACCAGGGGGGAGGATCCAACAATATTTACTGGGTCATCATTTTATCTCATTTTATGGGGAAATCCTTTCTCTTCATCTGGAAGGCGATGCGGTCCCCATGGTTACTGGGCCCAGTATCGTTTGATCCAGCCCAGACTCTTCTCTGTGGACTCTGCAGGGAACAGAAGCGGTTATCAGTCGACGCCAATCAACAGATCAGGATTCCAGGTGAGACGCACCTGACGGCCTGTATTCACAGCCCAGGTAGCCTCGGTAGCCCAGCTTCTCCAGCGTCCTGAACAGGTAGCCGAAGCTCAGCTCCCCGTCGCTGTCGGGTTCATTCCTGCCGGGGACCTGAGCGATCTGAACGTGACCTGAAGGACAGAACGTCTGTTAGAGCGCCACCTGCTGCACATCACCGTCCTGAATGGGAGCAAAGTGGCTTCCTGCAGCTGCTTTCACATCGTCCTGAACAGCAGAGCCTCAGTGGACCAGAACCTGCTCCACGTCTGCACTCCTTCCCGTAGACATTATAAACACAGACGCCTCATTGGACGCTGGCCCACGTGCCTAGAGGGCGGCCATCTTGGATCAGACCATAGGAGGCGCCTTAGATTGGATTTTAATCACATGAAAGAGTCAGAGATAATATTACAATAATTACAGAAAGACCAAAACTAATTCTAAAATTAACTTTCAGTTAGATTACACAGATTTATTTGGATTAAAAACTAAACTGAACTTAAACTGGATGAGATATATGCAAAGTTATATATTTGCAAATAAATATTAATATGATAAACACAAAGTTTTATATAAAAACATGTTTTACAAATATATGTTTATATGATGTATTTTTAAGGATTGCTCTTTGATAATAAATATGATCTATAGAGGAAAGTTAGTTGTGATTTACAAAAGAGAGTAAAGTTATTTGTTTTTCTTTTTATTAACTTAATGTTAATTCTTATTCATTTTTTCTCACTGTCAGGACTTTTGTTATCAAATCTTAGTGAATGGTAAATTCATGTGTCTAACGGCTTTTTGTCTTCATAAACTGATTAAAAAAACAGATGTTCATAGATGCATTAATAATGAATAAAAAAAACATAGTTTGAAAAAGTTTTAGCCCAGGGTCTTTCTGCATGAAGTCTGCATGTTCTCTATGAGCATGGTGGGTTCTCTCCGGGTACTCCAGCTTCCTCCCACAGTCCAAAAACATGACTGATAGGTTCATTGGCTTCTCTAAATCCTCTTTAGGTGAGGTTAGTTGATTTTATTTTATGTACACATGTTGATTTTATGTACACATGTTGATTTTATGTATACACATGCATTTTTTTATCCTGTGCGGGCATTGCTTTTATTTTATTTTATTTTATTACTTTTATTTATTTTAGTTATTTTATCTTTTTGTGCAGCACTTTGGAAACCTTGTGTTTATTTAAACCGTGCTATATAAATAAAGTGGATTGGATTGGATTGGAGTGTGAATGGTTGTTAGTCCTGCTTGTCTCTGTGTTTCCCTGGGATGGACTGGAGACCTGTCCAAGATGGACCCCGCCTCTCGCCCACTGGTAACTGGAGCGTGTAACAAAAGTAATTTCCCTCTGGGATTATTAAAGTATTTCTGATTCTGACAGATGGAGATAGGCACCAGCACCTCTCCCTACCCCAGCGTGAAGGAAAATGGATGGATGAATTTCAATCGCGGACGTAGAATTTGACTCCAAGGTTATTTAGAAAGATGTGAATGTTCATATGGACGTTGGCAATGAAAGTAAAAAAAGAACTAAATGCTGCCTTTGAAACATTTGATTTAACCCAGCGTGTGTCTAAGGTCAGTAATCACAAAAGAAACACACCAGACATCCTCAAACTCATGGATATTTCTGACATTTTGAGTTAAAGAAGCTTCCTGGATGGGAAGAGAAATGTCTTCAAACTTGAGAACAAAATCCAGAGAATTGATTTTTAACTACTTTGGAAAATCTTCTCATGTTTTAGCAGCAAAGCATCTCTGACATGTTGGAGCCATATGAACCACCTCAGCCCTTCAGGTCCTCACTGAGGCGTCTCCTGGTGGTCTCTAGGGTGGTCTATTGGGCAGTTTATTCAGACTTTTTTATTTAATCTTATCAATTAACTCCAGCTGTTGACCTCCAGCACAGTTAGACCGGTTTAAAGCGTGTGGATCATATGGGCTCCTGAATGGAGGGACCTCGGAGCGGTTCTGGCGTCCTACTCACCAATGATGG